CGGGGCAGGGCGGGTGGGGGGAGGAACTCACCGAAAAAATCATGCACTGGAGTTGTCTGAATCGATATTTCTTTTTGTCCCTTGGTATTGTTGATTCGTCCCCAAGTCAGGCTCATGTACAAAGGCATGTTTCGTGTTGATTGTTCCCATGTAAGATATTTTCAAAGCCACTGCTTATTCTTTGTTAGAAAAATGTGAAACAGAAAAAGAAAGAGACAAAGAAAATGAGCAAAAGTGTTAAACTGACTCCAAGTGGAAGCTGTGGAAGGGCGGTAAAGAGCACAGACCCTGTGGGCTTCTCGGATGAGAAATGGCAACTTCAGTGACTTCAGAAGGTGCAGAACGTGAGTGACATGGACTGGGGCTCTTGGTTCACCTCTGTCCTGAGGAATAGGAACTCAGGCCGTTTGGAATGGCTAGTCAGAGAGAAGGAGCAACTTCGGGATCACAAAGCCCACTGGAAGGTACAAAGTACCAACCTCTGGTGCATTTTGCAAGGTTAGCACAAACTTGATGGATGTCGGCGCCAGGGGCCGGGCAGGCCCGCGCAGCCTAGGCTGGGAGTGCTCACCCTGCGGTGACGCGCTCACATGAGCAAACATCGAGACGTGGGCAGATTTGGCCTTTTTCTTGTATTTTTTAGACTTCCACCTGAATACTGCCCACTTTTGTGAGACAACTAGGGTAGAGAGGGAGAGCAGGAAGGGGAAGCTGGAGAGGAGGAAGGGCACAGAGCAGATGTGGCACCCTGGACCGCGCCATAAGCTTGGCCCCCAATTTCTACACTTTTGCTCGGTGTTGTCACCCAACAACAGCAGGACCAGGAGCCTCAACTGACAGCCAGGAAGAGACTTTCAGATTGGGGCTGCAGCCATGCCCAGTCATTTGTAAAGGAAGTTGAAAAATGGGACTGTCTTTTGCCCATTCTATTGTGTTGACAGGGGACATCTGTCCAGACTCCCCAGTGGGGTTCTAAAAGCTCCTGAGCATGGAGATTGCACAGGTGCTGTTGCTATGGACCCACCCTGGCGCTCCCCTGCCTCTCTCTTGCTGACCGTTCAGGGAGGCCATTCTGTGGATACTGGCTCCAACAGGGCCAGAGCAGACTGGCAGAGCTGGTGGTCTGAAGCGTGGTACTGTTTCCCCGCGAGTCTCAAACAGGCCATTTAAAGGGTGTTTTCTGTGGCTTGCTCTATTGCCGAGGTCATCGCACACAGCAGCTGGGTCATAGGACTAGTAGAGCTCAAACATCCTGCCCCATGCTCTTATCAGGGTTCTCCGCCCTTCTCCCCCGCCCTGCCATCACCTTGAGTCACCTGTAAATTCATTTGTCATTTGAAGCGGAGTAACAAATTGTCCCTAGCAAAACCGCTGAACGCTTTATAATTTCGTGGTGTATTTTTGTCAGTAGGTAGCAGAGGCTGAAGTATTTTTTGGTGTAATTCTTGAAATTTTCTGACAGGAAACAAATAAAGATAGATGTGTCTGAGAGTCTTGACCTTCCTTTGAAGTTTTCTTTATCTTCTGAGTGAGCCAGGTGGGGCAGATGTTGGGGGTCCAGGTCCCAGAGGGCACAGGGAGCTCTGAGGTAGTGTATCTGGTTAGGCTGGGGCTGGAATTGGACCGAAGCCATGCTGAGGGGCCTACACAAGGACCAAGAGAGATGTACTTGGCTGCTTGTCTTGCAGCCCAGTGCCCTTCATCTGGCCCCTTCTGAGGGTCGGACCAGGCTGACCGACATGCAGGCCCTGCTCTGAACCTGCAGGTGGACTCAGATACAGCAAATGAGGGTCTGATTGATGACACCATTGACATAGTGTATGATGGTCAGTCAACAGCTGGAGGAGGAAGGTCCTGAGTGAGAACTGGGGCCCTTTTCGTAGTTAGCTCATTTAAGGCCAACTATGACCTTGGTGAGCCTGGGCTATTTGGTTTGCCTCTGCACTGTGGAATAGAAACAGGAGCAGTTAGGAATGGCTGAGCTGGGTCATTGAGCCCCATTTCAAGAGACTTGAGGCTCAGAGGGATGGAGAGACTTCCTTGGGCCATAGCGGAGCAACTGGAATTTGAAACCAGGTTTGTGTTACTCCTCTGTTGTCCACAAACTGTTTCTGTTCCTTGTAAGATCCCAGTCAACACTGTTAAGTTTATAGTTTGTCCTTTAGAAAGTCAGGTTGCCATAGTTTTTATAAAAGTGCATTGGCCTGTTCTCAGCCAGAACCGTGTCAGTGGTTCATGTTAAGGAGAGCAAACCCTTGAATGTCCCTTGCTTCATGCCTCCTAGTACTACATGCTTGCTGTGCCTCAGTTCCCATAATGCTCCCACCAATTCTGGGAGCGAGGTCCCCCACCTTCAATGCATCACCATCACCAGCAACAGCATCGTCATTTCAAGATGCAGAAATGGACGCCCAGAGCAGTGAAGCAGCTCGCCAAAGGTCATGAGGCGAGCTGGCGGCAGAGCTGGGGTTCTAACCCACCGTTTTGGTGCCAGTGTCTTAACCGCTGTCTGTTCAGTGGGAACCATGCATCTCTGTGTTCTGCTTCCTCGTTTATGGTTTGTGTTCACACATCGCTAACTCAGAGGGCTGGCCGTTTGAGGAAGAAGTCAGGGTTGACTAGGAGCTGAGGCTCCAAGCTAATTGCCGCATTGGGGGGTTGTGGCTGAACCTGCAGAGGGTGGAGGAGAGGAAGGAGCACAGTCCCAGCCCTGCGGTGCTGCCAGGCTGCCAAGTGCAGGCCACTGGGAATCCTACCACACTCGCCTTGGATTTCTAGCCTGTCTTCAGGCGACAGTGGTTCTAGAGAGGACAGGCAAGGATCTGAGCTGGCGTCCTTACAGAAACTGGCTGATCCAGATGGCCAATACGTAAACACCCGATTTTTTTCAATTACACGAAGTCAACTAAAGACTTAATAAACACATGTTCGAACATTCTGTCATAAATTGATTTGCCACTCCACTGCCTCAAAAACAAAACCAGTTATCTTTTTTTCTGGAATGAACAGGCTACGGATGTGTGACCGGAAATAAAGGAGAACAGAAGGAGATGGGTGACCAATACTTCTATTTTAGGTGTGACCCTGGGACCCTGTGCTATTCCTGGTGGAGTCATAATTTTTTCAGAATAAAGGAGGACACCTAACTCCTCCTGTGAATATTCAAGGGATGGGAGATCAGTTGAAGAGTTAACTGAGGGCCAGCAGGTGGCACGGTGGTTAAGGGCGCTGGACTCCCACAGGGCTGACCGCAGTTTGAGTCCTGGACCTGGCGGTTTACTTTTTCCCTTTCTCTCTCACTCTGTCCCTTTCTGGTCAAATTAAAATAAGTAAGTGAAGTTTTTTTTCAATTACACGAAGTCAACTAAAGACTTAATAAACACATGTTCGAACATTCTGTCATAAATTGATTTGCCACTCCACTGCCTCAAAAACAAAACCAGTTATCTTTTTTTCTGGAATGAACAGGCTACGGATGTGTGACCGGAAATAAAGGAGAACAGAAGGAGATGGGTGACCAATACTTCTATTTTAGGTGTGACCCTGGGACCCTGTGCTATTCCTGGTGGAGTCATAATTTTTTCAGAATAAAGGAGGACACCTAACTCCTCCTGTGAATATTCAAGGGATGGGAGATCAGTTGAAGAGTTAACTGAGGGCCAGCAGGTGGCACGGTGGTTAAGGGCGCTGGACTCCCACAGGGCTGACCGCAGTTTGAGTCCTGGACCTGGCGGTTTACTTTTTCCCTTTCTCTCTCACTCTGTCCCTTTCTGGTCAAATTAAAATAAGTAAGTGAAGTTAAATAAAATAATTCTTAAAAGAAAAAAAGAGTTAATTGAAGGGGATTCGGCAAGGGAATGAGCCTCTGAATTTTTGGAGGGTGGGCTTTTGGAGCCCTGTTGGTTGGTGGAAGTGGAAGGAGCCACATGGTGGCCGTAAGAGCAGCACCCGGGCTTCCTTGACAAGCTCTGTGTGTAGATTCTGCATAGTTTTTCATCTGTTCGTTAATGTTGGAGACGACTCTTGACATGCTCCCAGGTAAGGAAGAATTAAAGCCATGTAAGAGGTGATAGGATGGGGGCCTGTGCATGTCGGAAATTCTGAAGAGGTAGGCGGTTAGTGTATGTGCTAGCCACGGATTCTCAGAGGACTTGGCTTTACAATTGGGCCTTGAAGGATGGAGTGCCTTTTTTTTTTTCTTTTGCTTTTCCCAATGTCAGAGGGTGAGAGACAGAAAAGGAGGAAGCATACCTCAATGAGGGCCCTGGTCAGCCTCAATCTTTTTCTTCATTTCTCCA